AGGAGGACGTCGTGTTGCAGGAGAAGATGAGATTGTGCAGGAAGAAACAAGGGATGTAATGGCTACAGTTGCGGCGTCGTCGGGTGCTCCTCCCAGAGAGCGCTCGCGCTCTATACGTCGTGCCACAGGTCCCGTTCATTCCACTCAAGGGGGTGAACCTGCTCAGAGTCGGAGAGAAGATGATGCAGAAGCTGAGCCTGCAGTACTACGTCGGGTACCACCAGCAATGGAGGGTGAAAGCTTGTCTCGTCCTGAAGGAGGGGATGTCACAGATGAGGGGGTGTTTATGCAAATGCTTCCGCTGCTCAGCACTGAGGGTGAAGAACTTCAGGACCTTTGGGTGTATCGACGTTGTCGCGTGGAGATTGCGGAGTTCCTGGAGGCCATGAGGGATGTACCTCCACAAGATTCGCATTCAGCAAGGTGGGCGCTACAAGTTGCTTGTCATGGTCTTGATCGTCTTATCGCTGGGATGCAAGTTGTGAGTCGGGTACTACATGAACGAACAGAGGGTGAGTCCAGCATGCCTGTGTCTGAGCGTCGCGAGAGGTTGGCATCCCAAGTCCAGAGGATGTTCTCTGCAGTGGGTGAACAATGCCACCATGTTTTGGATGCGGTAGTTGAGGATATGTGTGCTTCCCCAGAACTACTTCCTCTGATTTGTCAAAACGAAAGGGTCTATGGTGCCCAATCATCCGGAAGTCGAGTTGCCGCTGATCAAGCGCATACACAGGCGACTGGTGGTGAGGCCAACCTGGGTGTGACTTCTAGCGAAGTACCACATCCTCCTTGTGTTCCCCATGAAGCACTCCGTCTTCATGCACCTGGTCCAAATGCTTCACATGGTTGTCCTGCTGCTCATTGCCCTCTACATGCCGCTGGACGTGCAGCTTCTGAACTTTGTGCTGTGGATGTTCACCGTGATGGTGTGGTCGGTCCGAGCGCGTCTACCCAAAGTTTGCCTCCTCCTCCTTGCGTCCCACAACTTCCCGTTCCTGATTCTGAAGGTTGTGCTGCTTCCGATTCCGAGAGCTGTGCCATGGGAGTTCCTTCAAGGGCCAGGGTGGTTCAGTCGACGGAAGTCGAGAGTTTGGGATGTGCATTGCCTGCTGAAACGTGCTCTGAGGCAGCGGATGTTTCGGGTAGTCACTGTGTACATGAGACCTCTGCGGTGCCTGATGTCGGCACTTGTGTAATACCTGTACAGTGTGTCGATCGTGACAAGTCGCGTAGTCCTAGGAGGGCGATGTCTCTTTGGAACGAAGATTGAGGATGTTTCACAGTTGAAGGCCTACATGGCCCGCGTCTGACTGCACAGGAGGGCGTAGTTCAGCTTAAAAAAAAAAACCCTAAACCCCAAACCCTAAAACCCTAAACCCTAAACCCAAAACCCTAACACCCTAAACCCTAAACCCTAACAGCCTAAAACCCTAAACCCTAACACCCTAAAGCCCTAAACCCTAACTCCCTAAACCCTAAACCCAAAACCCTAAACCCTAAACCCTAAACCCTAAACCCTAAACCCAAAACCCTAAAACCCTAAACCCTAACAGCCTAAACCCTAAACCCTAACACCCTAAACCCTAAACCCTAAACCCTAAACCCTAACACCCTAACACCCTAACAGCCTAAACCCTAACACCCTAACACCCTACCACCCTACACTGGAAAGCCCGAGGCCCTAGGCCTTCCAGCTGAGGTTGGCACTTCTGCGCCGGAGCAGAGTTTTGGCTGCGAGGTGGGGCCCAGTGAGCCAAGAACCGTAGTAGGGTTTGGGGTTTTGGGTTTTGGGGCCAGTTCTAGGGGGGACTTTGCAAAAATCTCGAAATAACAAACCAACTGTTTGAAAAATCAAACCAACCTGTTTTGGCCGCCGCCTGCCCCTGGGCCCCCCTCCCCCTGGCCCCTCCTGGCCGGCCGGGCGTTCGCGAGGGCCTAGGGGGCTCCGGGCCAGTTCCGAAACTCCCACTTGTTTTGGCTTGCTTCGTTTTGGGTTTTGGGTTTTGGGTTTTAGGGTTTGGGGTTTAGAGTTGAGGGTTTGGGGTTTGGGGTTTTGGGGTTTAGAGTTTAGGGTTTACGGGTTTTGGGGTTTAGGGTTTAGAGTTTAGGGCTCAGGGTTTTGGAGTTTAGGGTTTAGGGTTTAGAGTTTAGGGTTTTGGGTTTGGGGTTTAGGGGTTTAGGGGTTTAGGGTTTGGGGTTTTGGGGTTTGTGGGTTTACAGGTTATTTCGGGGTACCAGGACCCCCAAGTCCCCTTTAACCGCCGTCATGGTCCTTGATAGAGCGCATTTGGGGTGTAAGAGTTTAGGGTTTAGGGTTTAGGGTTTAGGGTTTAGGGTTTAGGGTTTAGGGTTTAGGGTTTAGGGGTCTAGGTACTGGGTTTAGGGGCTAGGGGTATGCGATTCAGAGTTCAAGCTTTATCCGGGTTTAGGGCAGTGGGCCTGGGATCTATGGGCTTTGGGGCTCGGGGTCCCCGGGGGCCTCTTTGCTTTCGGGTGTGTGGAGTTTAGAGTTCAGGATTTTAGGGTATAGGGTTTACGGTTTTAGGGTTTAGGTCGGCGGTATACTGGGTTCTTGCTAAGGAACTTAATGCAAATTATGATATTACGGACTTATGCCAACAAGAGCCCTCTATGTCCTCAACAATACTAAAGCATGGCAGTGTTTGCGAATCAACTGAAGAATCGTCGTAATGACTGAAAGCATCCTCTACCTGAATCCACAGAAACCCATCTTTATGATGATTCGCGTAAGAAGGTAGCTGTTGTTTGTGAAGGGAATCGTGTTTGTATCTTTTCGCGTGCACTGGCCTTCATGCGGCCCGAGGCCGAACTTCCTGAAATATCGACTGCAACCCAAGAGCCCCCTAAACCCTAAACCC